GTGTTGCGTAATGTCGGCATGCTGTACGGCCGCGGCCCAGTTGTCACACTCCGCGCCAAACTGGACCTGCTAACTAGCCATATGGTAATTGCCGTTGTTATGCTCTTCGCAGATTGTTTCTCTTTCTTGTTTGTTGACGTGGCATAAACAATTCAACTTTTACATTGACAATGATACTTTTACTTATATACAATATTATTTTGAAACTTAAATTGCCGTTTCTATTTAATCATAATCGAAGGTCAAAGGGCATTGTATAAAAGACATTATTTCTGAAGTCCTGATAAATATGAAAAGGAAAGGAAGCGGTTGACCATAAAATCGATAACATCTTAAATATTAAGTGTTGACGAATCGGAGTGAGCGGTAATCGCGGCTCATTATGACCAATAACCCCCGTTTCAATGTTAACGTCAAACCCGTTCGGAATGGCGGCCGTCCCCCCTTATCGGTGGGTCGCGGCGGCCCCACGCGCGTCCGCCAGGTGCGACGGAGCACCCTCTGCCTCCGCAGATGTCGGCCTCCGCTGCGGGACCGTTGACCCGGCTCGCGTGATGCCAGCGCCGCGCCTCGCCTGACCTCACATTGTCTGCCGCGCTCCAGGTCTTACAGAGGACACGATACTGATATCGCACATTATCATTACTCAAATAGATGCATGTATATTTAATGGAAATAAACTCGACTTGACTTCATACCGATCAATATTATTATCCTGTTGTCGTAGGTTAGGATCGTAGCATTTCATAAACACTCTTGGTGCTAGATCAATTTTGAGTACATTTAAAAATAAGACAATGCCCTTATTGACATTCACGACGTGAACATTTTTAAGCTTCTTCTCGTTCGTGCAATTTCTTATGGGCTCATCTTACGGATGAGTGAGTAATGGACATGAACTTGTAAAGATTCCCGACCGGTGTGCGCGGTGCTCGGTGTGCCCAGACATTGTGCAGAGGGGTAGCGGGGCGGTGGGTTTTTGACCCGCCGGTCCTATCTGCATAATAAAGGTCGTTGTGACACCTGCCAGTACCGCCCGAGGACCCAACTTTTCTTGGCAATGATTACAAGTCGTGTAGCACAATATTAACAATATTTCTTAATTATCTTTTTAACTCACCTTTCTAATGCTATTAAATTGATCGGTAATCCTGACTTCCAAACATCGATTACTTTCTAAAGTATATTATACATCATAATCCGAAAAATTGTCGTTAGTCTTTTCCGGTTAGCACCTTACGCGGCTGGAGGCGCGCCAAATCCAGTTTTAGAGCGATCTCGAGGTCTCCGTGCGAATCCGCGAACACCGATGAGTTCGATAAGATTACACTTATCTCTGTATCGCGTACACGAGGATCGACAGTCCCCTACTATGGTACCGGCCGCGCAGCGTCGCGCCGCTGTCGTGATAATACCACACTTGTTGATAAATAAGCTAAGGTGACACGTAAATTTGGAATTCATTCACTTTAATCTTATGAAGAGTTTTACATTTATTTAAGCATACAGTCGCATTTAAACAACCAGTGTCTTCAATGTCTTATATTTGTTCAGAGAAATTTTGATGTTTCACTGAATTGTACATATTTATTGCTATGTCTGTGTAACACCGAGTCGTATGCTAACGAGCAGGCCGTAGAGCACGTTTGGCCAATTATTGTTGTCGTCCTTACTCTGTTGCGTATGTAACGTAAGCTGAGCTTACACATCTTGTCACTGCTACTTCACTAGTCTGTCAGTTGTTGGCCATCAATCCAGGAATATGTAGTCATGCCTAAAGTAAAAACACGACCTTAATTATCAAAGCACAATCTATGAATTCACAATGTGACTATGTACCATCTAACTCTACCTACTTGTACAAACCTTATTTGTGGTATGTAGTTTATAATCTGTTGAATCGTTGAGTTATCTTAGTAGGTTTTAGTAAATGTATTTTTTTTTTATTGCAGACGGAGCTGTATGGCATAAAATGGCGTAAGCTGGTATGGCAGCGAGAGTGCGGCGGGGGCGGGGGCAAAGGAGAGGAGGGCGCGGCGCCGCTAGGCGATCCCGTGATCAGCAGCTACGCGCGCTGCCTGGCTGGCGACATCCTGTGCGTGTGGCGGCGCGTGCCCTCGCAACAGTCGCCCGATCTGTACGACATGCCCGTCCCGCCGCCTCTCTCGCTGCGCGCCGCCAAGGAGCTCTGGATCTTCTGGTACGGCGAGGAGCCCGACCTCAGCGGTCTCGTCGCGCCAGAGCTCATCGCCAGCCGTAAGTATTCAACATTTACAAATATATCTGTTATACTATAAGCGACGTTTTCAATATCTATTACAAATTACAAATATTATAAAGACAAACAATGACCTTGGCCAACTTATTTCATAGTTCAATCTCAAATTAATCCGGATATTGTAGCCGACCTCAAAACTATACACAAAATAACTAATGTTGACGAGTTTATAATTATTATAGGTCTGATTAATTAGCAAAAAAGCAATTTAGAAAACACACTACAAAATTAAATCATATTTCAATAAATTTCGACAGTCAATTAACGGAAGCTTTTAAAAGCTTCTGACGGAAGTGTTTAAAAGCTTAACTTAAACACGGCGCTCGCTTACAACAGTTGTAAGAATATAATCCATGTTCTGGCGCGATAACAGATTAATATCACAAGATAGCTTGTTAACCGCTCCTCGGGATGTATCATCGCTAACAATTAGGATAAAGATTAAGATCATGCCGACTCATCTCACAATGGTTCAAGACTAGAGTATGAGAATGAAAGAAAGATAGTGCTAATTTGTCAAACGAAAGAGGCTATCAGAGAGTAAATATTGCGAAATTTACTGGTAATCTTAATAAGCTTATTTAATTCCATTTAACTTTTTTAATTGAAATGAAATGAAGTATTCGTAGTATAAAAGAATTGAATGGTATTACGCGATAGTTGAACAATTTAAAGTATTTTATTAGCCGGTGTTAGAGAAACAATGCTCCGCGTGTTTGCGTCCGCGAACAATGCCGCTTACATCGGACGTGCATATTATTACATTTGACCGATGTAAGATGAAACAAGTAACGGATTACTTGACGATAATCACGTCGCCTCGTGTTCGATAATTAATTATTATATTTAAATGCTTACGTTGCGTTTGTTTACCAAGGTTTATCGCAATTAAAAAAATATTATTTAGTATTAGGTGTAATTGGTTCTTAAATCTTTTACATAATACATAAATACGATTTAAAATATATTGAAAGTTTTAACAATTGACTTGTTGTTCATCTGGTGCATGTGGGCGAGAGGTCGATGATCTTGCGAGATTTTTTTCTACGGCGCAAATATTTACATGAACATAGGCATGAACCTATGATACATGGATATGCTATTGACATTATCTTACAAACGTTATCAAGTTCACTATAACTATAAAACATAGAGAAAGTAAATCATTTAATTTTCTTTTTTGTATCAAACCAGTTAGGTGACATTTTCTTCCGCAGTAGACTTGTGTAAATATTGATTAGTTCGACTCAAGCAGCATTCTTCATGTCTTTGATCTGTCCTATGAGCATATTTGTATCGAAGAGGAAATACATAATGTAAACATGTAACACATCTTTTAAAAGAATTAAGTCTTTAGGAATATATTATATAATAAGTATTTTTATTATTGATGTTAGGTTACATATATATATGTTCCATACAGCAACAGTTACAATCATTGTTTGTCCGGCCCACGCACCTGTTCGCCAATAACGTCTTTATTTCTAACACGATATCTCTAACAAGTGGTCGAGCAGCCGCGACAGATGTTTGCCACAGTAGCGGCGATGAGACAAAAGTTTCAAGAAGGCGCGTTATATCCGACGAAGGCTTTCAAAGAATGATCGCGTCTGGAATCTAACAGGTGGCCGGAATGGACGAGAGGTGGACGCGACTGCGGATTGTACTTTATTTGTTCGCCCACCTCAGCGCTTTTCTTTATCCGCTTCGATAAATGTTATTGTTATGGTATGGAAAAAGATGTGCGAAATCTGAGATTTTTTGTCGCTTTGTTCGTTTGTTTCCTCTTATCAAAGTAAATGAACGATACCTTTGTTCTTATCTGCACATCTTTCAAAATCAAGTATTAATAACAAGCAAATGTTTCATATTTTAGAGCAATTTAAATTTATAATAAAATATCATTTACTTTTGGTTATATTAAATTTTAATGATGACGTAAAATGTAAACAGTTCCGGAGCTGTGCTGGAGTCGTAACGTAGCCGTCCCGGTGCGGTTATTACAAGACCTCGCAACGGCGCGCTTGCAACATTTAGGCAACGCGATACCTGCACAATTCACCTGTTTTAACTAAACTAGAAACTCACAACGACATGTTGCCTAATACCTATACCTTTTATCTTAATCGCTCTTAGACACGAAGCAACAAAATCCGCTACGTTCGAATAATGCCTTTATTCCAATGTCCGGCAAAAAATTCAAGTTAATTGCAACAGGCAGCATAAAAATTTAAACATTATTAGGTACAGTCACATATCTTGCACATCATTTTCAATGCAATTTTGTTTAAGTGGAAGAATAAATCTATTCCAAAGAAGACAATTTGTGATGAATAATACCCGTGACTAAGTATTTGTAATTGTATAGGATTCATTGTGTATGTAGCAAACTTTTCCTCTTGCTACGTGTTGTGAAGCGCCCCGTGCCCCGTGCCCCGTGCCCCGAGCCTCGTGTGCCGTGTGCCGCGTTGTGCGCTCGTGTCGGGCAAGTTCACGCGAGTGCCGCCGACGACCGAAATAGAACGTGACATAAATCTGCATAAACGGTCTTATTTCGGTACTCGACGATTGTCGACTGTTTCTGTTTAATTTCTGTTGCCACTTTGTTAATTTTATTGTATTAAAAACATTAAAATAAACACCTTTCAGTCTACCTCCGTAAAGTGTAAGTGTTATGTACTTCTGCGTTTTCTTTGAAATGTGAAACATAACATTCTATTCTTCTAGTCTACAATTTGATTGGAACGTAACCCTCGATAATCCTTTACTTTAGTATTCAGACCATAGTGACTGCGTAATGTCGCATCTCTAGGCTAGGAAGAGTCTGTTATCTCGGAGCGGTCGTGACCGCGGTCGCATCAATTGTTTCAACCTTGCGCTCTCATTTAGAGTTGGCCACAGACACCCGTAGAGATAAAGCACGTCTCATAATCAACGATTACGGAATACTAACTCGTAGAGATAACAACTGACTTTAAACGAGATAACGTATTAGGTAAGACGTAACTCGTAGCGTCTCTTATTGATTAGTTAATTTTAGCGCCTTTAATATGCTTTGATAAAAATCGGAATGATTACAAACGTTTTACTTTAAAACATGACTACTGCTTATTTTATCTAAATTGATTACTTTTTAAATTATTACAATTATTTTATGTACTTCATTTAATGATTCATTTTATTGTATTTATTTGTAGTATTTTAATCTTCTAGAAGAATATAGAAGTGACAATACTTCTTCTTCTTTATTATAAAATGTGACTTTTAAAGTAAATAAGCTGATTAATGGTTTACTAAATCTGGAGACGTTTATATCTTTAGAATACTGGCCGAAGAAACGCAGCTCTGCCAAATCGTTACATCGATTACTTTATTGCCTCCATAATAAAGTGTTTCATCTCAATGAAGTATATCCAGGATTCACTTGAAGTAATATTTAAAGCTATAAGTTAATTACAATTTCCAGATTAACTTATCATACTTATAAATTCAAATCTAATTTTGCAGCAAGAAAAAAGGTAATTGTATTACATTGCAAAAGACAGAAATTCAAAAGCAATGTGACTTGTAGCTTATAACTTGAAGTTATAATAATATAATAGATAAATGGGTAACGTCTAGACGTGAGGGTGTCTCGCAATATATATTCTGTTTAAAATCAACGACACGATATATGTTCCCATTCCCTTGAATTGTAGTCGTCGTCCGCTCGTATTGCTGCCAGCCGCGTAATTACATCGGTGGCTTGTTTACGATAAGTATACGTATACAAAAAAAACTCGTATTACATTTGGGCTAAGAGGCGTGGATGACATTGATCACCCAGACAACCGAACGCTCTCGAATAAAGCTTGCATGCTCGTAATTGAGAAAGAAAATCTTTACTAAAATTCCGGTTCGGCAATATACGAGATTGTCTCGGATCTGTATGTTACATTCTGTAAAGTTGTAGCTAAGAGAGTATGACCCGTTTAGGATAAAGACACGCCATTGTGAGCATTATTCCCATTGTTTAGAGTCGAATGTGGCGCGTAGGGGTGTAGGGTCAGTTGGCGACGTGCGTGCTGCATTCGATCGAAGGTCTCCGCTGCCACCGACTGCGGGCGGAAATAAACGAACGGTCTGCAATTTCCCGTCGCTCGCGAATCAACTAGCGTACAAGTTCCGGTAGTGCCTTGTTTATTTACCTACTAAGAAGTAATTTTATCGTGTGAAACATAGTAACCAACGATAAATACTTAATTCTTAAATTTTCAGATAATTCTTATAAAAAAATATAAAGTACACATATTCAACGATTAAATCAACACTATAAAGTAAATGAAGAAAATATTAAGAGAAAATTGAGGAAACAATCTTTTTAACCTGGGAAATATTATAAATGTAACGTCGGTTACAATTTGCGTGGTGTCCTGGCTCGAGGCGGCTACGTGAGCTCATTTGCGCTGAGATGAACGTCTGCCCCGGCCGCAGCGACCGGCCTTAATCCGTTTTACGGTTCCCCTACTACTGCGAAATGATAGACGAGTGCTTAATCTATACTTGTAAATTTGTTTTTACGCCAATTCTGTTTGTGGTTAAGTTATTATTGTATTAAAAGTACTTTGTCAGTCACGATTTGTAGTAATATTTTTCATTGCTATCTCTTATCCTTGCTAAATAACGCATCTTACGACCGTAACCTCAATTGATGTATGTAAATGTGTTAGGGAAAATAGTACGTTACATAGATTGACGTCACGATTCGTATATACCCATATTCCTTTTCGGTTTTTATTATCGCGCAACGCAACAATTGCACAGTCATCTCTGTGCGGATCAAATTAATAGCGTACAAATATGTTGTTCATTGAGCGAGCTGCGAGCCGCGGGTCGAGTGTGGGTGTGATTCATTGTGGCTCACCCACACAAACCGAATCGAATCAACGTCACAGCTCACAGGGTTCATATGCAAATATAATCTTAAAAATCTTACTTT